GGGGGCGGGGTGGGGGGCGCAGGTTACCGTCTGGGGTCAGGCGGGGAACTATTTTCAGTTTCACTGAGAAGGAAATCGGTTTAGACAAGATTTCCCAGAGGTTGAAGGGATAGTTCAAAACGGGAAGGCACCGAGCGTTCTGCCACTTGGCCATCGGTTTGTCCTGTGCGCGCTCCGGAACGCCCGCTCCTGCCCGCGGTCACACTACTGTCCCGGCTCTGATTTTCTGGGGCTTATTGTGTGTCAGGACTGTAAAAGTCCTCTGGACAATTTACAGACAAAACATCTGGTTCGTTAAAGCAACGCTACTGGACTAAGACAAACAAACTTTGCTGCTGTGTAAATTCACTTACCCAAACAATTTACATTCAAGCAAAGATTTTAGCCCGAAGAAAAACTTTTATTCATTTGTGTTCAGGAGGTTTGGGAATTCACAGGCATTTTAAAATAATTTTGCTCTAATAAAGTTATGTAGATATTAGAGAATGTCTTTGTTCTCCTCTCAGATTATTACTGCTCTTGTAATGCTTATTGACAGTACTTTGGATTTTGCAAAAGTGAGGCGGCGTTTTTTGCTTGTGGACTGTTTTCTTCTTAAGCAAACTTGTCAGATACCTACTCATCTATTGGACTATCAATGAAAATAGTTTCCTCTTTGTGCTTAGCCCGGAGAAACTCAAGTAGTTTCTGCGCACTTTTTGCCTTTCGATACTGTGGACGAAGCTGTTGGGAGGGAGCGTATGTGCTTCTCCTGCGCACAGGGGAGCGGGCATGTGCCGCCGCCGCCTTCCCCGCCGGGTCCCTCCGCAGGTCGCGCCGCCGCGCTGCTCCCGCTCCCGTCCTGCAACGAACAAGTGGCTGGGCATCAGCACTGTCCTCGGGGAGGAAAAAAAAAAAAGAAAAAAAGAGAGAAAAAAAGGTTAAAGCACGAGGCATGTTAGTTTCCGAGAGGTATTTCCTCTTTCAGCAGCTATTCTAAGTTTAATAAACTTCATTACTGAGCTTCTCGGAGTCTTACCATAACTAGCAGCTAATTTCCATGGTCCTTCTATGTGCTCAGCCTGCCACTGCGCTCGGTGTCAGCACAGGGGCTGCTTAGCAAAGTGTTAGACTTTCCATGTAGGAAAATGAAATGAACTGTGAAAATACACAACAGAGAGGGACACTAACTGGTGCACATAGTTGCAATATAAAACATTCTTAGCTGATGTAAAGTTCAGAAGTGATGGTTATCTAATTATGGGACTTATAAATAATTGGTACCTTGGTTTAAAACTGCCGGGAAGAGCAAGCTCAAAGCTGAGCCTTATGTGCTGAGTCTTTGTAGATGTAGTCTGTACAGTCATCGATTTTATGCATTATGTTTGTAAATGTTACACTTAATAAAATTACGGGTTCTGCCTCTCTGAAATAGACTGTGACCCCAAAAGAAGCTGATGCACATCGTGGAATCTGCATTTCAATCTGTAATTTGTCTGATGGAAAGTCTAATAGATTTTTCTTCCTTAAAATTTTTGAAATAGTTAACAGAGAAATTATTCGACAACTTCCTGAGTGTTTTGGCACTAAGTGCTATGAATATTTAACTGTACTGCATGTGTGTGTATATATGCACGTGTATCTGCTGCCGCTTTCCCGCACACGCACACATGCACACGCGCGCACACACACACACACACACACACACACACGCACGACAGTTCTTATTTCTAATTGAACTGAGAAAGGTCCTCCAATTTCTGTTTACGGAAAGTTTGACTCTTTTCATTCAACCCCCCTATTTCAAAATGGTGCATTGTTACAAGCTCATTACCCTCTCCTGCCAGAGCTTGTGGCCCGCCCTCTTAAAAGCAAGGTGAGTGCTTTTAAACAAACCTTCCTATATAGTCGGTGTTGTGCTTTCTCTCACAAATGTTTCTTGTAGTGAAATCGTTTAGCTCCTGAGGTTGCAATCTGCTGGCATCTTCCAAACGTGTGTGCATTTATGCATGAGTGAAAGCTGTGCTAGGGCATCTTCTTTGTTAAAATATACATGTCACTAAATTCATAAATACATGCATATATGTGGCCGAGTATAACTGCAATAGGAAAAATGTACACACGTGAAACTAATCGAAGTCTTTACAGCTGAAGAAAGTAAGAGTAACTGCGAGCCTGCAGACCCGCACTGCACACAGCGCGTTAACCCTTCTCAGGGCTCAGCTTCCCGAGTCCTCGGTGCAGCGGCCAGCGCTCTGAGCCATGCTCTGGGTAGGCAAAGCAGCAAGGTTACATTACATCACGCAGATTATATGTAATATAAAGCTAGTGAAAGATGAGCCGGTATAGAGAGAGGCAGAAAAAAAGAAAACAGAAGAAAACTTCTTGCAACTTCCCAAGCCCCTCAAATTAATGATTGGCCGCTAGAGTATTTTCCCTAGGATGCTCTGTAGCCGACTAGTAAAGGATTAAAATATTTCTTGGCTTAGGAAGGGTCTCGCACACATTTAAGAACAGCCTCTACGAGACTGAAAAAACTAAGCACTTCCTATTACTTTTATTTTGCTATACGTTTTCAGCATACTTTATCAGCGCCTTGTGGAATTCTGACCTGAACTGTTTCAGGTTTTGCTGACCAGGGACAAAGTAGGGCAGGATCTTTTCTGTCTCCCGCAGCTCTGGAGGGCAGCCGCCCGAAGTTTGTTGCAGCCTCACTTTCCGAAGCTCAGGGAAATCCTCCATGTTGCACAGTGTCTCCTGCAGAACTCCATCCGCCTCGCCTAGCAGTCTTTTAAGACCGAAGTTTATGTATTACTCAATCTCTGTGTTTTATTTGATGCAGATTTAGCGATTTCCCCTGAAGAAACAGAGAATGCATCTGGTCTGAGCGCTTAACGCGCTGATCCTACCCATTCCTCCGGTTCGTCTGCGCTGCCTTTGGCTATAACGTATCCTTTAGGATTACGATAAATTATTTAGGTTTTCTATTTCCTAATTTTTAACTAAAGGGGGGGAGGAGGGAGAGAGGAAGAAGGAGTTATTAATTAAAGCCTAGTCCTTCATGTTCTCCACGCCTGTCCAACATTCGTAAATACTTGTGCTGCGGCGGGTCCCCTCCGCGCTGGCGAAGTTGTAGAGCACGTTGGCTGCCCGCGCCGGACCGCAGCCGCGCTGGTGCGCGCCGCGCTGCCGCC